AATGCGTGACCATAACGCTCGTTCACGGTCGATTCGGGTCTGCTTGCTGTATTCCTCTATGTCGAAGTCGATTTCTCCAGCATGTTTAACGATGTCTGCAAACCATAAGCAACATTTTCAGTCAGCGCAGTTTCTTCGAATGATTTCCAACAGGATTTGACATTCCATTAGTATTCATAATGTTGAATACAGATAGTTCAAGTTGACGCGAATTTCAATTAGTTCATTACTAAAGTACCCAATAGTATCAATGTATCATGTTCTGAGCTCAGCGAATCCCGTATGTAGTGGCCAAAGTTTTGCCTAATTGTTGGCCAACATCGAAGAAAGGCGATGCACCCAAAAGGTGCATGCAAAAGGTATTCAAAGCGGTGAGGCTGGCAGCGGTATTAGAAAGTATTCGCTCCGCTGTCTATAACGGAGATGCAAAATCGTAGGGAGATCTTACACTTGTTAAACGTGCTGTACACGGCGACTCCTTATACTCCTTGTATACTCCTTTGCTAAAGTGCTCCTTTTATGATATTGATTAAGGGGTTTTCCTATTTTTTTGACGTTTTCAAAGCCCATATCCGGGGGATGTAAAGACTCAGCTCCGAGTCAGCGACGATCAGATCCCCCTATGCGCGGTATGAGTCCCTTTATTGGGGAGACTTATACTAGATTCCTCCCAGCATTCTATCTCCGTGAGAAAAAAGTTTGACAAATTTCGAATTACTCTTCCTCAATCGAGAAACAAACTTTTTCCCTAAAGTGTAAGTTAATTCAAACAATGGAACGCTTTCGCAAAATCCTTTACAGTTTACGTCCTTCAACAGATAGCGACTCTGACTCAACTTGAATTCGTACCAGTATTTTCATGGAGTTCCTGCAACTGATTGGAATTCAGAAATGTGAATCCCCTCCTCTTCATGTCCTTCTTTTGCAATCGATCGAAAGACTGCTCTAGGTCTTGGAAGATACTAGTCATACGTTCTGTAACTTCCTTGAGTTCCCCTTGCATGCTGAAGAGTTCTGTACTTGAGAGCGTCTGAAATATAGATCTGCATTAGCGAAATAAGTAAAAGCAAATGTGGTAAGGATGTTACAGTGTTACGTTGAGCAGCAATAGTAATATTTAACTTATGGTAATTGTAAATTGATAGGAATAAGCGCTCGGCGTTCATCAATTGTTGCCCAAAATACCCCATTCAGTATGTTATAGAATCATGTATTTTCGCTTGATCAGTGGGATGGCAGTCTGTGCACAGGGCAAGTTGTTTTGGCCCTTCTGAATGTTGAGGCGCTCGTGAAAGAGAAATTGAAGCTGTGAACACAAGTGTGATGACAAGTCGTACATATCAATTCACCTTCATGGCATCGTCGACGAGTTGTCGAGCTCCGGTGGTTTCCATGACCATTTCTAGAACATCTTCACGATCGCTTTCTGACATTCCTGTTGCTTCGAGCAGCTAGAAGGAGAAAGCGTGTAAATGGTTCCTGAGGTGAATTTTTAGCGCTTTCATTGAAGAAAATTGCAGCGTTGCATGATCACTCTGACGAAATTGACATAATACTCTCCCTCTATTTTTCAATGCATCCAGGAATTACAAACACCCAGCCAGGAACTGTAATCAGCGTCACCCGTATAATAACAGATCCAGATTTTCTCATTTTTTAGTTCGAATGCTCGAAAGAGAATCCGCGGCTTTACCCACAGTCAAACCATGTCTATGAAAATTGATGAGAAGCAATGATTCACTGATCATGGATATTGTCTTAGGAGTTCCCTTCGGCCTTCTTGCGTTTCTAGGGTTAGAAAAGGTATTGAACAGTTTCTTCGAGATTTGACTTTTTCCACACAAATTGATCTTCTGAAATACTTCTTCTGATGTAGATTCTTTAATGATGAATTTTGAACATCAACATCAATTCATGGGTTGTGCGTATCTGGAATGTGAGCTCACCTTTGGAATGGGCAATAGCTGCTCTTCAGTGTCGTCTTTGTAGAACGATAGTACAGAAGGCGATAGTGATCCTCTGATGCCTGCTTTGTCGGGCATTATAGGGGCGAACCGAGGGCTGAAGCATCAGTTCAACAAAATCTCTTTTCTCCAACTCGATTTTCTTTAGCTATCATGGACTGATGTTGATAGTTTCGTGGAAGGCTCTCCAAGTTTCAATGGAACACCAACACCACCCAAAATTAACCTCAAAAATTTGATGTTAGACGAGTCGCCGACTTCCTTAGATTTTCGTTCGAAGGCATGAATCAGCTTGTATGCATCTTGGACAATCGAAGGCATGAAACTCTGCAATACCTCATCCCATATTTGTTCATGTCATGCATTGAACTAGTAACATTCCTGCTTCTGTGAACACAAATCAAGGTTCCAACGGGGAAGCCTACGCTGGATTCACCGCAACTGTCATCTTTCCATCACCGGACATGATCAACCGTGGTAGTAAAGGGTCCCCTGCAGACCTACACAAATAACGACATTCAGAAATTTTGTTAGTTTTGGCATTCTTCGCTCCTTTCACACTTCGCACAGCCTATTTTATCCCATACTTGTACCTCTATTCATCTGATAAGCCCATCTGAACCACCCATGAACAGCCCTGCCCTCATGAGAGTGATACACCGGTGGATAAGTCAACATGTGTCCTAACCCTGGCTGTGAATTTAAAATTCCAGGGTGGTTACTATGATTATCGTCATCTTCCCATCACCAGACAGTAAAGGGTCCCCCTGCAGACCTACACAAATAACGGTATTCAGATCATTTGTTCGTTTTGGCACTATTCGCTCCTTTTACCTTCGCACAGCCTATTTTATCCCATACCTATACCTCTCTTCATCTACTAAACCCATTTGAACCACCCATGAATAGCCCTGCCCTCATGAGAGTGATACACCGGTGGATAAGTCAACATGTGTCTTAACCCTGGCCGGGAATTTGAACTTTCAGGGTGGTTACTATGATTATCGCTGAACTCTTGTCGTCAGGCGAATCGAAGTGTTAACAAAACTCCAACTGCAGTCTAAATCTAGGCTATTACTGCGTTAGTCGCACAAGTAGATGAGTTTTGTTCAGAGTTGCGAAGTAAAAATGGGATTCGTCAAAAACGTTTCGCTGTTTTTTTGTAACACCCTCATCCATGAAAGGATCTGAGTTCTAAGTGCAGTAAGGTTTACATTTTCTTCATTTCTCTCTTACTTTCTAATGCTTTCTATACTTTAAAGTGTGCCAGGTCATGCTGACTTCGCAATCGCAACAGAAAGAGGAACTTTACCTTCTCTTTTTTGGCTCTGGTTGGTTTATCGTTACCGACCACTAGATCGAACATGCGTAAATCATAGACCTGAACAGAGAGCTTGCTCGCTTCATTACAATACATCCAGATATCCCCCGCTTGACAACAACTTATCACGGACCTTAGCGCCAGGCTGTTTTGCCTGTTTGTCTAGGGCTTTTTTGATGGTGAGAAGACTTTTGTAGGTATCCGTCCATTTTGATCCCCTGAAATCATTTATCATGAATCAAGTTGACTGCAGGCTAATATATCATGTCTTGTTCAAGCAACCCATACCCATTAGTGGGGTTTTCGTCGGCATTTCTTCGCACCAGCGATGTAATCATCCGAGTTACTCTACTTGCCACAGACCTACCCTTCTGAGGTATTAGAGATGGCATGGTGTTCATACTAACTACCTGGAAAGAATTAATGCAATAATCGAAGGAATATGATAATGTCAGTAGAAAATATTAACAGAAAAAGAATGGTGCCTGAAATCCACTTGAATCACTTTTTCCAATGCCGTCGACTACCAGACGTTTGAGACTTCGTTTCACTCTTCGGATGGCTCGGTACTTGATCACTTTCGGGCTATCCTTTTTCATGAGCTCCTGAATATATAGTTATTGACTAGAAGTCGACCTGAATAGATCTAGATTGTATAGCAAAAATTGCGCTCAATTATTAAACGGGAGACGGGCATTAGGAACGATTTTGGGAAGTCGATTCGCCGCACGCGGCTGTCGCGGACCACTGATGCGCCGTTATTACAGCTCTAGCGTTCTTGATACAGCTCAATCGATATGCGATCATTATTTTATGC